TGTGTATGTATGTGTTAGTATTGGTTTGCTAGTGTTACGGGTATGTTATGTGTACATGTTTGTTTTATGGTTGTTGATTTCCTTGTCTTTGCTTGCCTCTTTGTGCGTTCATACATGTTGGAAGGTGTTAATGGGTGCGTGCATTTCATATGAAAAAAGTCTTGCGCCAAAGTACTTTTCACAAATGCTTGCTGTAACGACCATAAGCACATATACATGGCTGTTTGTAGTTTCATCTCTTGTGGAAAACCGGTCATGTATCAGTAATCGATTATCATATACAAAAAGCAGATTCCATATTGTAGAGGCATACAAAACATGGAATTTACTTCTGGTCTCTGGTTCTTTTCCAAACCTTCATTCATACTTTATACGAAATACTTTTCTTAGTGTCTCTCTCTTTCGTTTTAGAATTGAACGATCTCTTTTGACAAGAAGGAAATTCTTAAGTGAAGAAAAAAATGTCACCGAAAACAAACAACAGGCTACCAAAAGTTTCACTTGCTCGTACAGGAAACCAAAACTCGGACGAAGTAATCTGACAAATGCTCGAACTTCACCTGACTTTCTCTTCCCGGTGGCCACTCCCCCTCCCGCTATCGAGTCTGGTCGAGCTGAATTTACATATACTTTTTCTTCCTATTCTGCAAAGCACATGAGGATACGCACATGATGGAGTGTGTAGTTAAAATACACCATACACTGTATACTTAGATGCATAAATACAAAGAAAACTCAGTAGAATTTGACATAACGAAACAAAACAACAGCGGGGAGAATAATAGTCACAGCGCGGATTCCAGCGCGAGGGGAAAAATAGTCACAGCGAAGGGGATTCCCGAGCCAAAGACCTTGGTGTTAGTGGAAGGTTTTTGTCTTGTCGCCAGTGTTGAAGATGGGTCTGGAGTGGGCGGTTTTCGTTCTCCTGGTCGTTGCAGGTACGTTTGAGAACAGTTGGTTCATCAATTAGTTTCCTACTCTTTCTTAGTCACGTTTACCTAGAAGTTCATTTAAAGACGACTTTCCCCATTTTTATTTTATGTTGATTTTCCTGCTGTTCAAAAATAAAGAAAATTACTAGTCGCAAATATTTGTTTAACTCGCACAGTGGAAATTGCATGTACCGTTAGCTGGCCTGTGGACCTGCTTTCAAACTCGTCTAACACTTCGTATAAATAGTTAAATCTTGCACATGTTCCCATTAAAGCGATTAGGCAATCTGCGAATGACAATCAAATTCCCCCCCCCCCGCCGATTAGGTTGTTATCGCTGTGACCACTACCAAAAAAAAAAATCGTAGAACAGAAATAGTGTTGTGTTTTATGATGGCAGTATAGAATATTATTATAATATTATTATAATAAAAATGATGATTGTGATAGTAATAATAGTAATGATGATAGTGTCAGTAATAGCAGTAATGACATTGTTTATGATGATAATTATAAATATGATAATAATGATACTACTACTAATGATAATGATTATGGTGATTATGATAATAATAATAGTAATAATAATAATGATAAAAATAATGGAAATGGCAATTACTATGATCATGCAAATAATGATAATGATAATTATGATGATGATAATAATAATAACGATAATGGTAATGGTAATGATGATGATGATAATAATAATAACAATGATAATTATAATAATAATAATAACAATAATAATAATAAGTATTATTATTATTATAATAATAATGATACAATAATAATAACAATGACCATAATAACAGTGATGATAATGATAAAAATAATGGTAATTGTGATTATAGTAATGATGATGATAAGGATGATAATGATAATTACAATGATAATTACATTTACAGTAGTAGTAACAGTGTTAATGATAACAGTAGCAGTGATAATAATGCTAATGCTAATGATACTACAACTAATGATAATGATGAGGACAATGATAATGATTATGATAATAATAATAGTAATAATAATAATGATGATAATAATGATAATAACAGAAATAATAGTAATTATAATAATAATAATAAACAATGATAATGGTAATAATAATAATGATAATAATCATATAATGGTAATAATAATGTTAATGGTAATGATACCAATAATAATTGCAATAATGATGAAAATGATAATAATATTAATGATTGTGATAATAACAATAATGATAATGATAATATAAGGATAATGATTGCCCTCATCATCCGAATAACAATGATAATAACAATAACAGTGATATTAGTGATAATTATAGAGATAATGATAATGTGGATGATGACTGATGATAATGATGGTGATTATAATCATGATACTGCTTAAGGTGATAAAGGTGATTGTGATAATTAAGAAACTAGCAATGAAAAAAGAGACAATGATAATGATACTATTACTACTAATAATAATGATAACAATAACAACAACAATAATGATAATAATAATGATAAAATTTATAATGATATTGATGATAATGATAATAAAGATAAGTATAAATAGTAATGATCTTGATGATG